AAGCTACAAAATAGCAAAGCCAGGAATCAACTTGTGAAGACTGATAAATACACCACTGTTGGCTGGTATCATATTGACCCAGTAAGCTTATCACAGGCTAGGCTCCATCTTGAATTTACAAGTCAGAAAGGAAGGAGAAAAGGGTCTTAGGTGTGTATTTAATGTGTACAAGAGAGTCATGTAGTATAGACATTTAGATTACCGAAAGCCTTAATATGTGCAAAATTTGAAAATTTTGAAATTCTAGATTTCCCTATTGAATATGATTTCAAATGATTATCATTAGATGAGCAGGCATGGCCACAAGACCAAGATGGCAGAGTGTTCCACAGTCAGCGTGTAGGGCTTAGCTAGGCCATATGCCACTCCCCTCACCTCTCCAATTCCAATTTGAGAACCAAGAAACTAGAGTTTCTTCATCAAAAGAGACATTTTCAAAACCATCCAGTAAAACCCCAAAACCCTTTCCTTCTCACTGGTATCCCTGTGTAACATGACACTGGGTTTGTTTATTTTTTCATGTATTTACTATACTATACTTTTTATTGTTATCCTAGGGTATACCGCTACTTACATAAAAAAAAAAAATGTTAACTGTAAAACAGCTTCAAGCAGGTCCTTCAGGAGATATTCCAGAAGAAGGCATTTTTTTTTTTTTTTGAGACAGTCTTACTATGTTGCCCTTGGTAGAGTACCAGCCGTGGCATTACAGTTCACAGCAACCTTAAACTCTTGGGCTTAAGTGATTCTCTTGCCTTAGCCTCCCCCAAGTAGCTGGGACTACAGGCATCTGCCACAATGACCAGCTATTTTTGTTGTTGTTGTTTGTTGTTGTAGCAGCTGTCACTGTTGTTTAGCAGGCCTGGACTGGTTTTGAACATGCCAGCCCTGGTGTATGTGGCCAATGCCCTAGTCACTGAGCTACAGGTGCCAAGCCAAGAAGGCATTTATTATTATTATTATATATTTTGAGGATTCCTTGAGGGTACAAAGAATTAGGTTACACTGATTGTGGCTGTTAGGTAAAGTCCCTCTTGTAATTGTGTCCCGCTCCCAAGAGGTGTGCCATATACCATTATCCTCCCTCCCCTCTCCCAGATCCCTCATTTTCTCTTGTATTACATCATATACTGCCTTCATATTAGAATTGAATACAGTGGATTCTTGCTTCTCCATTCTCGTGATGCTGTACTAAGAAGAATGTGTTCCACCTCTATCCAGGTTAATGCAGTAATCTCTCAGGGTATAAAATCAATGTTTACTCATCAGTAGCCTTTGTATACACCAATAACAGCCAAGTTAAGAAGGAATCAAGAATACAATTCCCTTTACAGTAGCTTCAAAGAACATGAAATACTTAGGAATATACCTAAGAAAAGAGATGAAAGATTTTTTCAAAGAGAATCATGAAACCCTAAGAAAAGAAATTGCAGGAGACACTAACAAATGGAAGAACATACCATGCTCATGGCTGGGAAAACTCAATTGTCAAAATGTCTATTCTACCCAAAGCAATCTACAGATTCAATGCAATTCCCACTAAAATTCCTATATAATATTTTGCAGAACTAGAAAAAATAGTTCTTCATTTTGTATGGAACCAGACAAAAACCTGCATAGCTAAGGCTCTTCTTGGTAATAAAAACAAAGTTGGTGGCATCACCCTACCTGACTTTAGGCTATATTTCAACTCCACAGTAATCAAAACAGCTCTATGTATTGGCACAAAAAATAGAGACGTAGACATAAGGAACAGAATAGAAAACCAAGAGATAAAACCAGTCTCTACTTGCCATCTGATCTTTGATAAACCAAACAAAAGTATATAGTGGGGAAAAGAATCCCTATTCAACAAATAGTACTGGGAGAACTGGATAACCACATGTAAAAGGCTGAAACTTGACCCATACCTTTCACCCCTTACAAAAATTGACTCAAGATGATTAAGAGACTTACATCTAAGACAAAATGATAAAAATCTTAGAAGAAAGTGTGGGGTAAACTCTTGACGATGTTGGACTGGGGAAAGACTTTATGACAAAGACTTCAGCAGCCATCCCAACACCAAAAATTAACAAATGGAACTTAAGCTGAATGAAAAGCTTCTGCACAGCTAAGGACACACCAAGTAAAGCAAAAAGACAACCTTCAGAATGGGAAAAGATATTTTCAGGGTATGAATCTGACAAAGGGTTGATAACTAGAATCTACAGAGAACTCAAATTAACCAATAGAAAAAGTATAAACAATCACATCTTACCTCTGGGCAAGAGATATGAACAGAACCTTCTCTGACGAAGAGAGAGGAATGTCTAACAAGCATTTGAAAAAATGTTCACCATCTCTGATCGTCAGAGAAATGCATATCAAAACCACCCTGAGATATCACCTAACCCCAGTGAGAATAGCCCACATTACAAGCCCAATCTTAAACTATAAAGATGATTATGAATAAATTAGTTATAACCTTTGATTAACAGATTCAATGCAATTCCCGCTAAAATTCCTATATCATATTTTGCAGAACTAGAAAAAATAGTTCTTCATTTTGTATGGAACCAGACAAAAACCTGCATAGCTAAGGCTCTTATTATTATTATTTATTAAATCATAGCTGTGTACATTAATACTATCATGGAGTACGGGCCTTTATTTTAATAAAATATATTATCTTTTTTTTTGTTTCATACAAATACCTATTCTTATAAATAACTAATGGGAGGAAATGATGTATACTGCTAATCAAAAGGTCTTCTAAATCTAGTATATATGCTGCTGAAGCAAGGACAAGACTTCTAGATTTATATTTTCTTTTTTTTTTTTGGTTGAGACAGAGTCTCACTTTGTCTCCCTCAATAGAGTACAGTGGCATCATAGCTCATAGAAACCTCAAACTCTTGGGCTCAAGTGATCCTCTTGCCTCAGCCTACCAAGTAGCTGGGTCTACAGGTGCCTGCCACAATGCCTGGCTATTTTTAGAGATGAGGTTTTGATATGGCTCAGGCTGGTCTTGAAACTGTGAGCTCAGGCAACCCACCTGCTGTGGCCTCCCAGAGTGCTAGGATTACAGGCGTCAACCACCCCACCTGGCCTAGATTTATATTTTCAATTCTGAAATTTTCAAGCTTTATCAATATCTTTCTGAATCACCAATGGAAACATTCTATCGTCAAGATTTTTTATAAACATTCTAAGACAAAGTAGACCAGATCTTTTATGGTAAACTGATGATGTCCTGGGTGCTAGGTATTTCTTTTATGTTATGTACAGATTTTTTTTAAAAAAGGTAGTAATCACTGGCCAAAGACATGACTGCATATGAAATTCAAACTTTATCTTAAAAGAATGCACCTCCATGAAAATCACCAGATTCTTTCACATTTTGTTCTTAACTCCTGCATTTTTTTTGGTTAAGACTTAATCGTTTTATTTGAGATCCAAAGAGAATTGTGTTCACAATTAGGGTAAGTATAATACAAGTTATTCTCAGGGGTGGATGTTAATCTGGTACAGCTATACCATTACTTATCTTATTGTCCCTGATTTTAGCATAAATTATTCCTTTTCCATAAAAGTAGTTATAGTTTCATTCAATCTTAACAGTACAACAGTATACAGTAAATATGCATCTTCTAATGGGGATTAATGTATATATTATGAGAATAAAAGCAAACTTGAAATAGCAAAGTAGGCTGTTATATTAATTAATGGTATTGGTATAGTGTAAGAAATATTCATTTGCCTTTATATTCAAATAATCCCACCTTTGATTAACATCATTAGTTCTGACTTGTTATACAATATATGACTCCTATTTTATATATCTGGTTTGAGAAGCCAACTGTCATCTACTACATTTTAGAGGAGTCTGGAGGAGACAGCTTAAAAGGCATATATGATCTGGTAGGAAAGAGTGAGTAAACATGTATATAGTTACATGTAAGAAGAAACTGAAGAACATAGTATCATGTAGACTCAAAAAGATACAGGTACCAAAAGGATTTAAGAAAATAAGGAAAAGTACATTTCTTGGCTTTGGTTGAGACATCCCAGAAAGTGATAAAGAATGTGACATGGAAAATTATCAAATGTAACGGTCAACATAAGTTTAGCTAGTTTTATAGGCATTTTTTCCCTGTGAGTTATACCTATTTATTTGTATTACTGATTTTTAATCAAAGGTTGTTTTAGTGAAGGGCCTTTTATCTAGATTTGAATTTATAATTCAAAGAAATGGAGAAAAATGAATACAATAAATAGAGAATCTTAAAATTATTCATTAAAAAAATAGAACAGACTAAGAACTTCTAAAGGACCTAGAAAAATAAAGTTAATCAATGAATGTATAATGTAAAAACTGCTCAGAGTATCTGGATTTCAGAACCATAAACAAGGATCTTTACACAATTAATTATAAATAAACCTAGCTATGACTTGTTATACCTTGGTCCTATATATCAGACCACAGTGCATTAGAAATGCCACTGTTGCTTCCACCTCTGTTTTTCCTACCCCACAATTTACACCAGAACTTACGTCATGAAAGACCAAGATTTCAAATTTACTACTGAGAAGTTAATGCTTAGCCTCAACTTTGGGTATAGACTTATGAGGTTATATAAACTATATTTTGGAAAAATTACTTTCTTAATGAGAAACCAATTAATAAGAAAAACTTCCTGGAAGCTACCCGATTAGCTCTTTCATATCTAAAATATTAAATAACCTTTACTGACACCCCTGGATTGTTAAGCCAATGTAACCCATTAAAAAAATAATATTTCTACATTTATTCTACTTCCTGGCTACAAGTTCCTTGAACATTAAACAAACAACCAAATAATAATACCTATTTTTAAAAATCATAAAATGCCTCAAAAACCACTCAAGATAAAGAAAATAACTGTACTTGGTTATCCATTGTAAAAATAATCCAATATATTTAACCAGCAAAGATACTGAACAAAAGAAGAGCAGTATTTGGAGCAACAGTTTTAAATGATGTATGGAGGGGAACGATCAGACTTAGCCAGCTGTTCTAAGTCAGACAGAGACCTCCACGTTTATGTAGGATTGCTGCAATCTGTAGACAAAGGTATTTTCTCATTTGTCCACATGCTTGGTGCCTGCAGCTTCCATTTTTGGTGTGCTTCATTGTTAAGAAGGATTTGTTATCCAGTCTTCCTATATTTCAATTTCCTAAATACATCAAATTCTCATTTAAACACATTTTAATGCATTCAAGTAAGCCAAATTAAAAAAATAAGGATCCAGGTAACAGAAAAAGAACAATTAAAAAGACATATTGAGCATACAAAATCAAAGATATCTTTAGTCTTGGAGAAAAGGTTTTATAAAGAACAAGTATAAAAAGAGAAGAATTAAGATACACAAAAAGCATACATTTGCCAAGTGACCTTAATCAATTTCATTATCCTGGACACATAATGTTCAAACATTATCTCCACATACCTTTAACTTGCATCACATCAGCATCTCTGGATCCTGGATAATCTCTCAAATAAGATTGAGAACAATGTGCTTGCATCGTATCAGTATCTCTGGACCCCGGATAATCTCTCAAATAAGCTTGAGAACTATGTGCTTACAGTGATAAATAAAATATGGAGGGTGCTCAAAAAAAAGTATACATATTTTAAGAAAGGAAAAAGCTCAAATACTGATATTTTATAGCACTTAATGAATTCCATGGGGAGTTTGTTAAAAAGGGAGGTCTCAGAGCTTTCCAGCTTAATGAACACACAGAAGTACTAAGAAGGTAGTATGCCCACCGAGGGCATGAAACCTCCACATGCCCCATTCCCAACTCCTCATTACCCTGCCCTATGCATTGCTTCCATTTGGCTGCTCCTGAGCTGTTCCTTTAAACATAAATTAGTAAATATCTAGTGGAATTTGGCTAATTAAACATCAGGACATGGTGCATTTTGGGAGACACATCTTTGCCTCCAGCTTTAAGGTCCTGATTTACTACTCACATTACTAGAGTGTTCTAGCCTTTGTTTTTACCACTGATGAGACAAAAAAGAACTGTAGCCTATTATGCAATGTCTCCCTTGGATTTATTCTCTAAATCTTTCAAAGAGACCAAAAGACCACAGAAAGTCTCTCAGTAGGGTCTGAGATATTAAGTACCTAATTACTCCTGTGAAAGGAAGAAAAAGTCTCCGGCAGTGATTATTGGAAACACTTCAGCATGTTCTTCCCATGTGGGAACACTATTGCATCCCTAAATATCCATAGGTGGGTTCAAGATGGGATGTGACAGGGATAGGATCTTTGCATGTAATTCTAGGCTATTGAATAAAACAAAAAAAGAGAATTACCTATTTCATTACAACAACAAAAAAAGAGGTTCTTAGGTCTCACCTTCAGAAACTGATATAACAAATCTAGGGTTTGGAAATTTTAATTTTTAATATATATTCCAAGTAATTAGTAATTTTGAAGCAGGTTATCAGTAGATTATATTTTGAAAAACACTAGTATATATGTTGAAACTGTCTATAGATAGTGAACCCAGAAGGAAGAGAAAGACAAGAATTTTCTAGCCTCAGGAAGCTTTTGAGTTTAGTGAGAGTAACTGAAGGTTATTTTTACCACTTTTACCAGTCTAAATGAATTTATTTGGTTAAGAAAGATATTATAATTAGCACTGGAATTAAAATTACACAAGTGCCTCATGGCAATTTAATGGAAAAGTTAATTTCACAAATGTAAATCTATGAGAACTGAAAATAAATAAGATAGAATGAGAAGCTAGGGACTGAGTTATTAGCGATCTTTGTGTAGTTTACATATCCTAGTAAAAGTCCTAGTCTTCTCTTTTCTTTCATCTTCCCATTCTCATATTTTAAAAAAGGCCACAACAATAAAATACATGTAATGAGTATAACATCACAGAATGCAGTTTTGAATTCTCTACTTATTTTTTTCCAGTGACACAGTACCCCTAAAGCAGTGGTTCTCAACCTTCATAATGCCGTGATGTATTTTCATTGTTACAAAGGGGTCGCGACCCACAGGTTAAGAACTGCCCTATCGGATTCGAGTAAAACTGAGGTAAGGAGTTGATTAGCATAAAACAACTTCAGAAAACACTAAATTTAATGCAGGTTGGGCCACAAGTGTTGAAAATTACACATCTTTAAGTATATACTGCTTATGCATTGATGGGAAGAAGAGCTGATTTTATGGGTTAACTCTGTATAATTTAAAGTTTCTAAAAAATATAACAGTCTGACTTATGAAGCAGGTACTATCTCCAGAAGAGTTCAAACAGTCTAAAAGACACCACCTTTAGAAATGTGATATATACAATTTCTACAATGACCAAAGGGGAGGCTAGATCAATACAATGGCATTTTTTTACCTAATGAACACACAAATATTTCTGGGGCTACAAAACTCAGCACTGTACTTAATAGGGGCTTCCAGTGTAACAGCATTACCATACGTAACTAGCATGGTAAGTAGCAAAATCAAAGGCATAAAGTTTCAAAAAACCCTGAAAACCCCCCCAAACCCAGCACAGGTTGGTTGAGAATCTGAATATGCAGTTCAGTGTTGCTGGAGTATAAAATGAGCCTATGCAAGTGGTATGCAACTGTGCTGGAGAGGGAGGTGAGTGCATGATGAAAATAGTTGTTAAATGTCACATGAAGCAGCTCAGATTTTATCCTGTAACCACTGAGGAATCACTGACAGATTTTAAACAATAAGATAAATGAGTCTAGAACTATTAAGAAGTAATGGTAAGAGATGACGGGAGCCTAAACTAATGGTAGGTGGCAGAGTAGTATGGTTGGAAATTGGGATGGACTCAAGATACACTAAAAAAAAAAAATCTGATCAGATTTGTGCAGAGATGCATACTACCCTGATTTTACATTTGTATGACAGTCTTCAATATTTTAAAATTCTGTACTTAACCAAATTTGACTCTAAATTTATGAAATGCTAGGAAATTGAACTGTACTTATTAAAATTAAAGAAAATCCAATATTTTTCATGTGATAGTAAATCATTGCAATTGCAATATTGTTTGAGTTTTTATAGCAAGTCCCTGGGTTTACTAAGTACAATGCCAAATTGTGATAAACATATATTCACATATGTCAGGCTGATATAAGATCTCAGATAAATTATTAGGAAAATATAACTCTCAGGAAGACAGATGAATGGCTAACAAACATATGGAAAAATGCTCATTATCCCTGATCATCAGAGAAATGCAAATCAAAACCACCCTGAGATATTACCTCACTGCAGCTGAGAATAGCCCACATCACAAAGTCCCAAGTTACAGATGCTGGCACTGATGTGGAGAGAAAGGAATACTTTACACTGTTTGTAGGACTACAAATTAATACAGCCGCTTTGGAAAGAAGTATGGAGAATCCTCAAAGAACTCAAATTAGACCTCCCATTTGACCCCGGCAATCCCACTATTATGCATCTACCCAGAAGAAAGAAAATCATTTTATAAGGACATTTGCACTAGATTGTGTACTATAGCTCAATTTGCAATTGCCAAAATGTGGAAACAACCTAAGTGTCCACCTATCCAGGAATGAATTAACAAGCTGTAGTAATATATACCATGGAATACTATTCAGCCACTAAAAAAGATGGTGACTTTACATCTTTTGTATTAACTTGGATAGAGTTGGAACACATTCTTCTTAGTAAAGTATCACAAGAATGAAGACCAAGAATCCAATGTATTCCAAGAACCCAATGTACTGAATTCTAATATATAGCCAGTGGACAGTCTAATACAAGCCCACATAAGAGGAAAACTCAAAACAATTCAAGGTGGGGGGCCGGGAAACAAGGGAGCAGGGAGAGGGGAGGAGAGTAGGAGATGGGTGTGCTCTAACTTAATGGGCACAATGTAAGGGTATATAGCACACATCTTGGGACCAGACAAAATTATAAAAGGGGCTGTACTTAACAAATGTAAACAATGTAATCTAATTCTTTGTACCCTCAATCAATCTGAAACAATAAAAAAAATAAGTAATTTAAAAGTCCTTAAGGGTTAAGATCATGCTGAATCACTACTTCTGGATAGCCTAAATACTTCCTTCACACTTTAAAATTCTTGCCCCTGGCTAAATTTGTATTGAAAGCTTCATTAGAAACCAAATTTCAAACATGATTTTATGTTACCTGCTACTGCAAGTTTGAAACGAAATTGTCTTTTGTAATTGATAATCCTTTTGTCACTAGATGAAACACATGTAATATGGGGGGGGAGAGGCAGTACAGGTAGCAATATGGGAGGTAGCAATATAAGGCAGGGCTGGAGAATTAGCAGCATAAATAATGAGTGAGAAAATATAAGACTTGAAAGAAGTTTTCCATTTTTCTGACATTTATTATACAATATTTTGAAAAAGGTAACCATCCCTAAAATATTATAAGAAATAAAATGTCTATTTACTCTTAATGTACTTCAGGAATATGTTGAAGCAATACGCAGATTCAAATAGCAAGAAACAAGTCAAAGATAATTAAAAGTGATTATTAAAAACCCTTATATTTGTAGAAGTAATATGAGTGTTAGGAACCAAAGGGGGAAGCTTAGAGGAAGAGAGCTAGAAGTAGCTGTGCAACAAGAAAACAAACAAACAGGCTGTACAACTGCAAATTAATGACATTTCTTGAACATACTGGAGAACTGCGGTTATAGGCAAAACAACGTGAAATTATTGTATGTCACCTATAGGAAAAACAGTGCCTAAGCATTTGCTTACCAGGCACAGAAATAACTATATAAGCTAGCAGAATGACTTAGATAAAAATGTTTATAGAAATATTAAAGGCTGAGTGTGGGCTAGCATGAATGTGAAGTCCTAGGGGCCACAGATCTTATTGGTGCAGAGGTGCACCCTCTTGCAGGCTTTTCCTCTATGAAACCTACCATGGAATACTGCGGAAAATCCTGAAAAGTCTTTTCATGTTCTTTGTGTTTCATGGCACAAGGAACACTAACCGTCACCAAAATGTCATTCAGACTCAAAATGCTACTCAGTCACATCTCCTCTCTGTCCTCCACAGAACAGAAAAATTAGTCCCTGTGGAAAGGGAGGAATTATAGCCTGAGGGTACTGG